TGAGCGTTTTTTCCTTAGCAATGTCTTGACTTCTGCAAAGTCTCTTTCGACAGAATCAATGATTAGATCTTCTGTATAAGATCTTATGTCTGCTTGAGTAGACAGTTTTATCATGAGGTTCTTTTGTATCATAAGATAACAATATTTCTTCTTTTAAAAATATTCCTAATGAGATCTTATGAGAAAGTCAAGGGTGGACTAATCTGTTTCTTGAAAACATCTCATACTCTCAAGGAACTTAATAAAAAGCATTCAACAAATATAACTTCTTATCTGATGAATCTTCCTTGTCAGCTTGTTCTTCAATTTTCTGGTTTTAGACAATAGTTAAAAATTGAATAACTATCAGCTTAGAGTATTTCTTTACAAAGCATATAGATCTATATCTGAAACTGTTAGGTGCTTGAATATCCACCAATAATAGAACCAGGCTCTGATACCAATTGAAGATGTGAAGAAAACACAAGAAAATTGGGTTTTCCTTTCTTGTAAAACTTTTGCTTCTAAGCATTATTCGTTGTACAATTATTCTGATTGTTGCTTCTAATTAATGCTTATAATTTGGTTCATAAAACATAAACTCAAAAGCATAAGCAAAAGCAAAGAACACGAGATATATCCTGGTTCACTTGAGAAACCCCCAAGCTAATCCAATCCATCCTTCCGAGGTGATTTCGCCATGAATTCAAAGACTTAATCCACTATAATCAATTTGATTACAATCTCATGGGAAACATCTGGTGACTAACATCCAATGAAACATTCAGGGATCCAAACCAGATATAACATTCATTGAACCAACAGAATATGATTCTCCATAATCTTCTATCAGGATTTCCTTCCAATGATATCCATCAGTGATCTCAGAAGGCTGACCTTCACTCAGTCCCCTTTGAGATATGACTACCATTGACCCAATGGAATCCATTCCCAAGATTTCATAATAACCTCCAATCACTATCTTCTTGAGCACATACCTTCACCTAGCCTCTCAAGGTATCATCAAACAACTGTTTGATTTACATTTGTTTACAATAATATGCTTATACACAAGCTGGATGTAAACATAATTTAAGCATACATCAGAAGATCCTAATACAAACTAAAAATATTACATTGTATTGTAGCTTGATGTGTGGTCTTATTTTCTTCAAGTAGCTTCTTCTCGGACAACATCCCAAAGCACTTGAATTACTGAAGTCTTCTTCTTCATAAGCTTCTGAAAGCTTTGTTGATCTTGATATAGTAAAGAGAAGAACTTCTTCATCTTGATTCACCTTATAACATTCAGGACATCAACCATTGTTCTATTTTATTTTATGATCACTTTAGAGCATAACATTTGTGTTATGGATTTGTATCTGGAGCTTTCATGATCATCTTCATTATCTTTTACGGCTTAGTAAGCTTTATGCAACATATGGAATTAAGCACATTGTGAATCAATGATTTCATTGTAATCATTATCAACATGATTGAAGAATCATTTTGATAACAGTTTTTCTTGTTGTTGTTATATTGGTTGATAGCTTGTTGGTTGTGTTCCAATAATGACAACTTTCATTTTAACATTGAACACCAACAACTTGTGATTTGCAACTTGCAGCTTTTAGCACCCAGCCAAACAGCCTATGGCAAGCTCATCAATATTCAGCATCACGTGTTGAGCAATAGCTAACCAACCAACCAACTAACATTTTTAACCATACGATTCTTTTCTTATATAACCAAGCAAAAAAGAGTCCTTACAAATAATACTATGACGTCCTTATCTCTTTCACACTTTAAGTTAGTGGAGAGGTAGTGGCATAAAACTTTTTGTACTTTGTACTATTGTACTGTGTCACCATTATATTCTTTCCTTCTATACTTCAGAGGCTTCTGTGACTATGAGATTATAAGTGGGAACATAACATAGGGTCTTCAGAATTTCAAGTCTTCAGAATTTCAAGTCTTCAGAGTCTTCAGAACTGCGTCTTCAGAGTCTTCAACATTTGGTCGTGAGAACCCGTGGTAGAGAATCTTGGACCAAAAGAGCTTCAAGTCTTCAGAGTCTTAATAATTGTGTCTTTAGAGTCTTCAACACTTGGTATTGAGAACCTACTGTATATAATCTTATATCTTCTAGAACTTCAAGTCTTTAGAATCTTCAGAAATTCTGTCTTTAGAATCTTTAACACTCGGTCTTTAAGAATCCATTTAAGAACCTTGTTATTAGAAACACATGTCTTCAACATCTGGACTTCAGTAGAAACTTTGTCTTCAGATCTTTTAACTTTGTCTTCTTGAAACAAATTATCTTTTAGAAACTAAGTTTTCAGCATCTGGACTTCAGTAGAGACTTTGTCTTTAGATCTTCTAACTTTGTTTCTTTAAAACACACTATCTTTAGAAACTTGAGTCTTTAGCATCTGGACTTAAGTAGCAACTTTTGTCTTTAGATCTTCTGACTAGTTCTTTAGAATAATTGTCTTTAAAAGCTTGAGTCTTCAACATCTGGATATAAGTAACAACTTCTGTCTTAAGATATTTTGACTAGTTTCTTCAAACAAATATCAGAGCTTACACTTGAGAGCCATCTGGAGTGCCTTGCTACTGTTCAACAGAACTTGTATAACACATAAGCATAATTAATTCTCTTCTAATGTCTTGGCCATGTCATCCATCAGAAGCAAAACCTATTTTTTAAGTATTCAATAATAACAAACATTAGTATAACAAAATTGTTCATATAATCATGCTTATTTGTTATCATCAAAACTGAGAGATAATATTGCAGAACCAAATCTTATTCTTACAAAAACCTCAACAACCATTTATATGTATCTGTCGTTTCATCTGACACTAACGTACCAACAAATATAATATTCAATGAGTGGTGTTTTCACCCAAAAAATATAACCGACTAATAATTGTATTTGTTCTTCTTGTAAGTCATGTTAAACGCATAAAATGCCGCCAAAACAGAAATAATCCGATCTACTAGTGTCGTCTGCCTAAAAAAGTGATTTCACTCTTCCATCATTATTGACAGAATATTCTGCATATAGCATAGAATTGACAAATGATTTCATATTGAGATAATTTAAAGCATCAACAACTTAACCATCTTTAATAAAAACACACATTTTTTTAATCAAAATATTTGTACAAAATTTTCTTTGTAAAATCAACACCAATATATCCATCCTTTTGAGCAACCGTGTACCCCATTATATGACAAGTTTTGTTTCCATGCAATTAAATACCATCAATTTGAGTTCTATCTGCTTTAGAAATTTGAAGATAAATGGGGTGTAAATGTACAAACTTAGATGATGTTAATTCATGGTTACGAACCTCTTCAAAAATTGACACTACATATTTTTCCTTTTTGGCTTTGTAGTGCACACAGAGCCTATCTGCATATCTAGTACGAGTTAGACGTTGGTGATCTCTTTTCCTATCTATCCCAAATAAGTGCTTCTTTTCTCTTGATCCATGTTTGTTACATACATACCACCTCATTATTATTGTTATTTCACTATCTTCGGGCCCTCTTCGCCTAATATCACTTTTCCTAATGGAAAAACCTTTACATTTACATACCTATAATAAAAATTATAAGCTTCACTTACAGTTCTAAATCCCATGACATAAATTTCATATATCAGAAGTAATGGAATCAATGCTCCCCAATACATCACTTATAACTATTTGGCTATTTGACCACTTCGCTTCAACCGATTCCTCTTCATCGTCATTATCCGCATCATCTACATCATATGAACTTTGATGTCCACTAGATACAACATCATTAACATCATCATCACCTATGTATTCAACATCAAATGAATCACTATTTATGGAATGAACATTGTTCAAATCAACACAAATATAATCATCGTAGTTGTCCATCTAAATATGCCAATATATAACACAACATAAGACAATATCAATCATAAAGCCTAATTTCTAAATTGAAATGAAATCATAACTAACATATTGAATAACTAATAGATTGAAAATTGAAATCCTTAATTTTAAAATCTAAATACAGATAACAACATCAATCATAAAACTCAATTCTCAAATTGAAATAAAATTTATCTAACGTAATAAATAAATAACTATTAAAAATCGAAATCCTTAAATTTGAAATTCAAATACAAATAACAACATCAACCATAAAACTTAATTCTCAAATTGAAATCATATAACAAATTGAAATTATTAAATTTTAAACCCAAAATCTTAGCAAATATGCTATCAACACGAACACCAACACATTTTGCGAGAAGCGATTGCATGAGAGAATATTAAATGTTCGTTTGTTGTACAAAGTTGAAAATAAAGCTCGTTTTATAATGGCAGAAAAATAAGATGAAATGAGGGTTTCATCCTCAATGGTGTGAGCGATTGAATGTGGGAATATAAAAGGTGTGCTCGCTATACACAGTTGGGAAAAAAATTGTTTTTGTGGTTGTTTTACAATTGCGGAAGAAGAAAATAAGTGTAGGTAGTTCTACAGATTGGGGAAAGAAGATGAAGTTGTTATTAAAATTTAAGTCAATTAGATAATAGAATAGGTCAAAACCAATCTCAGCTAACCTGAATGCACGATAGTGTAAAGAAATTTTATACCGTAAATAAATATTAACCATTAAATTTTAAATTAGATTTGATTTTTATTTTAATTATTAATAAAATAATATTTATGAGTGGTTGTAGTACACTTATGTTGTAAAACTTTTTACTTTGACAATTAGACTTTGTTTGGATTGATTGAAGAATTCCACCGCGGAAACAAAGACACCATAAATCTCTTTCAAATGGAATTTTCCAAAAAAAAAAAAACTAGTAGTATTTTTTTCTTTTTAAGAAAGGCCATTATTTAGGCGCGAACTCCCAAATAGAGTTTTTGAATTTCGTTTTCTCAGAATGAAGTTTCGCGAGTGTCTCACTCACTGGCCAACAAATTGAAAATTCCTCAAAATTTGATCAGATTCCCTTTCATCACAATGAACTCAAAGTCAAAACCTAAAAAACCCACACCGATTAGGGTTTTCGGACAACGATCCATCACCTCAACATTCCGCTCTCTCCCGCCAAATCCGTAAGTCATCTCTATCCCATTCCATTCCTCAACTTCAATAACTGCATCACTTTTCTCACTCTCGCTGAATCCAGCTCTCATGATTCCGAAGCAAGTTCGAGAAATCAAGCTTCGCGTAACAGCGACTCCACTCGTTTATCGCTTACTCACTTCCTCGATCGCAAACTGCATAACTCTTCAACAGTCCCTCAAACCGTTCCGGTAAAATTCTGGATCCGAAATTACTCTTAGGGTTTCTGGCTGATTTAATATATATGGGATATGTTGAAGTGTGTTGATTTGTTTCATTTATTTGTTGTTCGTTTCGAAAGCACGTGTTTCGAAAGCACATTATGAACTCATATGAACCATTTGGTCAAGTTTGGATCACAATTCCACAAGAAATTTGATCAGATCACCAAAAGGGCAAAATGGTCATTTTTAGGGTTTTGACTGCACAAAGGCAATTTTTGACTGTTTGACCTAGACAATGGAAAACCAAGCTCACATATGGACTCAAGGACTCAATGGCATTGTCTTGACATGTTCAACAAGTTCAAAAGATCCCAAATGCACAAGATTGACAGATGAATTTTCCAGTCAACTGAGCCAAATTTGACTGTATACTGAAAAGTCAAACTTTGACTTTTTGGTCAAAATCAAGTGCCAAGGTTCATTTTTCATCAAGACATGTAAAATTATGAAACTTGTTCATCAAGAAATCAAAAATTACAAATTAGGGTTTAAAATGAAGAAATTTCATAACTTAGAAATTTTCTAAGTTATGAAATATCCTAATTTTTTCCTAACTTTGTCCCATCTTTTCATCAAGATACATTTGGATTCAAACAAAACTCAAAACATGAAAGTTGTAGTCCATTGCAAAATCTACAACTTTTATTCACAAAGTTTCCTCAAAAGAAGCTTGTAGCTCAAGTTATGATTTTTGGAACAAGGGTGCAAAACATTCTTAACTTAGAAAATTTTTGACCTATTCTAGGCAGGATTTTTTCCTAACTTCATGGCCACTTTTCACATGCTTACACTTGGAATTTCAACTTGCATTACAAAGATGTATTGTAGTACACATCCCAAGCTTTCCAAATTGTCCAAGAACTTCTCAAACACCCTTGTGGTTAGGGAGAATCGAATTTGTCAATATGGGCAAAAGTCACTTTGATTCATGGCCATTTTCATGTTCATAACTTAGGCATTTTTGAAATCAGCTTGCACAAGCTAGTTACAGGCCTCTAATCTCATTTACACTAAATAATTAAATGCCAATCCATTGTGTTCTAGAATTATTTTGCTCATTTGGTCATTACATGAAGAATTAAGCCATAAATGGAAAAAAGCACATTATCCATTCTTGTAAAGTGGCACTTTATGTCAAGTTTACAATCTATGAGGTACAATGCAGATCTTTGAGGCACAAAGGCATGGACATATCCCACTGATCAAGACTAATATTTGCAGCATACTTGAGGGGCCTGTGGTAGCCTAGAAATCAAGTTGACAAACTTTGCTTATCTAAGAAGAAACTTGCATTTTGAAACACAACATTGAGTTCCTGTCAACACAAGCCTAAGCAAACTTATTGAGCACATTCCAAACATCATAATTGAGCTGAAACATGAGCCTATCACCTTGAATACCTCCCCAAACATCAAAACACCATCCTACTGCAAAAAACAGAGTCCCTTCTGCAGTTGGACTTCTATAAACCTTTCCACTCGTGCACTTTGGCCAAAGGGAGTTCAAACATGTTCCATAGCATCCATACAAGCTATCCCAAGCCCTAGCTTCAGACTGTAACACCTCTAACCAAGTTCACCATTTTCATTTTTTCAGTTGTGCAGGTTGAGTTACATAGCTCGTTTCAGTTAGCTTCAAAGCACACCAAGCATTGGAGAAGCATCCCTGAACTTCAAGCAAGCTGTACAAGTCCTCACACTGCAGTGAAAGTGCCTCCATTGTCATACACGAATCAAGCTGAACAGGTAAAAGTTTGAACTTCTATCTCTTAATCCAGGCATATCTAGGCTTAGGTTTGTGAAGAAATTATGTCATACTCATGTCCCTGAAGCCACCCATATCCTCACTTTCCATTTATATTGCATGTGCTGAGAGAATTTAAGACATGAACATTGGAAAAAACTTAGGTCAGGAATTGGGGGAGAAGAAATTCTCTCTCATTTCTGAGAGTTAGAATGACTTTTTTATATATTTGGAATCGTGACAAGATGCTCTATAACATTGCTGTTGTAAGTTTTTGCTGAATGTCAAAGAATCATGAGATAGCAGGAAGCACGCGTTTTTTTGTTTGGAAGGTTGCTGGAGGTTGAAGACAACCACCTTTGGGCTGGGCCTGGTCTTTTTTTTTGCTGTTTACACCACTTTATTCCACATACACCCCCTTGGCCCATTGTGTTATTTTTTAATCATTTTTTACTTTTTCTTTTTTATTCTGACTTGTTATTTTTTTGACAAAACATAAAAAATATTAAAAACATTTTTTCAACCATTTTTGCATTTTATTTGAATTTTATTTGTTTTATTTGAGTTTATACATATAAATAACATATATATCCTTTTATTTAAAATACTAAAATAATACAAATACATTTTTATTTTCTGATTTTTATTTTATTTGATCTTTGAAAACATTTTCTAAAAAATATACTTTTTTGTAAATAATAAATATTTTTATTTTGTACATATTTAATATATTTAATATATAATATAAATGCTTATATATTTATTAGAATATTTAGGATAAAAATACAAAATAATACATTTTTATTTTTATTAATATTTAACCTCAAAAATACCTTTTTTACAATATGCTTCCTTTTTATTTATTTTTTGTATATAATTAATAAACATTGTATATATTAAATAATAAATACCTTTTATTTGCAAAATTAGGGTTTTGCCCTAAACATGAAAAATACCCAAAAATTATCCTTTTTTTATTTTTGTTTATTTGTCACATAAAAAATACCTTTTACATACATATAAAAATCATTTTTTGCATCTTGCATATTTATTGTATTTTTATTCAATTATTGTACATATTAAATAATTGGTATATTCAATTTAGATGTAATAGTTTAGATTTAAATTTCTTGCTAAAATATCCCCATTTGAACATTTGTACCCCCCATCCCATAATTGTGTTGTAATAATTTAGGACCTTTAAATTCTGCATTTAAAAGCTTTCTAAATATGCCATGATAGACTTAGGGTTTTGTATGCAAAAATCAACCAAACAAATAGCTTGACTAATTCAAAGACAAAAAAGCATGAAATCAATACACACTATTCACACTTGCACCCCCTAGGGTTACTCCATCTTGTTGCCTTCAATAATGGGCCATGTTGCATGTTGGGTGTCTTTGGCAAAACAAAACAATATCAAATGATCATAGTCCCTCGATGACGCTTTCGAAAGTTGCCTAATCTAAATGATCAAGTCCCTTCAAGCAAATTGCCAAAGATACTTGGCACCATTGCAATCATGGTCTAAACGATGACCCGCGCCCGTCCCGTTAACATCCTAACACAAGATTGTCCACCAAATACAATGGTGGAACAAAATTGTTAAAAGGGTTAAAACATAGGAAAATCCTTTGAGTAAATTTAGGGGTAAACAACTCTTAGTTACTTGAATCAACTTGCAAAATACACTTGCCTACTTTTCAAAAACCACACATCACAACACACTTTCAAAACAACTTTCAAAAACATTGAAAACTTTTCAAAAGATAAGTACACCTTTGTATACATTCAAACATGGATCATTACAAAGGTTGCCACCACAAATGGCCTCTTTTCAAAACATTTTCAAACCCACACACAAAGCACCATTTCAAGCAATTGAAAATCAAAGGCAAGTGATCTAAAACAAGTAACTAAGAGCCCATGGATAACCATGGATGAAAAGGATGCTAATACCTTCCCTTTTCATAATCTACCCCCCGAACCCACGAAACATCTCAAAAGGTTTTTCCTGTGCTTTTTAACCTTTCCTTTAGGATAAAATAAAAAGTCGGTGGCGACTCTTGCTAAACCGAACAAGTGCGAATACAAACGCAAAACTCAAGTCAGTTCTCCCATCGTATCACACGTAGGATGTTTACTTTCCGCACTTTTATTGCTTTCATATATTGCTAGTAATTAGGGTGTGTATGACAAGATAAAAACAACAAATAGACAATCCTAAGCAAGACTTATTGCATGCAATAAAACACACTTGCACACTAGCACCCTTAGGATAGTCTCACTTGTTGCCTATCGAAAAATAGTCATGTCCCTCGAACATGGGAAGTTTTAGCAAAGACCCTCGATAAAATATCGTAGTCCCTCGATGACCCTCGATGTTGCCTTCGGTAAACGATTAAGTCCCTAAAACGACATTGCTAAAACGTTCCATGAGTTGCCTTCTATGACTATACAAACGTCCCAACACCTGTCCTTTCACATCCAACGATGGGGATTCTTACCAAATCAATGGTAAGATAGCAACATCTAAAGGAGGAGAAAAAGCACATTTAAGACCTTTTGAGTAGGTAGATTCGCTCCTAGTTACTCACTTGATCACAAAAAAAACATTTCTTACACCAACATTTTCATCTTGAAACTTTTTAAAAGAGAAACACTTTGTACGCGTTCTTATAGAAACGAGAACCATTACAAAGAATACACCTTTTCAAAATCACTTTCAAAAACACAACACACAAACACATCTTTGAACTATTTTCGAAACAAATATTTTGTATGCGTTCTTATAGAAACGAGAAATCATTACAAAGTTACATTTTCAAAATACTTTCAAAAACCACACCACAAACACATTCAAACAAAAGCAAGTGATCTAGCGAGTAACTAAGAGCCCATGGAAAACCATGGATGAAAAGGGTGCTAATACCTTCCCTTTTCATAATCTACCCCCTGTGATACGGTAGCCAGAACTGGGACGTGGTTTCCCTATTTTGTTAAGGAAATTTTGCTGGTTTGCGTTTGTGTTTGCAAAATGTCGCAGTAAGCAAAAGTCGCCACCGTCTTTTATTTTATCCAACAAGGAAAGGAAAAAAGCACAGAAAATTCCTTTTTCGAGATATTTCTGAGTACGGGGGGTAGATTTATAGAAAGGGAAGGTATTAGCACCCTTTATATCCGTAGTTATCTATGGGCTCTTAGGTACTTGCTCATCATTTTCAAAATTGTTTTCTTTGTGTTTGTGCGCTTTG